GGCATAAACTAAATAGAAGTATTTTTCAAAGTTCAATACCATAGTTTAAATCCGATACGATGCCTAAAATTTAGGGATTAAATTTTTATAGCAGCATGGTTGATTTAAAGAAACAAAAAACTTATTAAATTTGTACTAAAAAAATTGTCTACTACTTAAATTTAACTAATCAAGAAATTAGTGATCTCCTTTTATTTTATTTTTTAAGTTCAGTAAATGCATAATCGAGTATTGAACGTTAAAGATATAGAGGGGATGGTTTCTTTACACGCAATTTCATATTTTAGAAACATAAAGTCATTATTGACATTTTTCTCAATTAATATTTGTCTGACCAAATTTACAGGTGAATGTCAAATTATGTAAAGAGAGAGCAACTTATTTAATTAACAAATAATGTTGAAAATCTGCAATCGATTTTTAAATTAGCCGAAAAGGCTGACCTCTCCCTCTTTCTTGTTTCATTAAATACTCTCTGTGGTCATTTATCAATAATTTGAATTAGATATATATATATTTTATTAGTACAAACTTGAATTGGTAGTGTTCGTTAGTAAGAGGTGGTTGTATATATTTTAATCAAAATGTTCTTGATTTAATGCTAATTGCTTTAGCCTTCTATAATATGTGGTTCAATTTTACTTTTGTGTTAATTTAATTGGACGGTACTTTCTAATTTGTCCCCGAGCAACGAGCCTAGTCGATTGAAATCCAACAATAGTAAAAAAGTCTAGCTAGTTCATAAGCCTAGGAAGATATTTGATTAAAAGCCAGCTAATCAAAAAACTCGAAAATGGTATAGAATTGAAAGCAGGCAAACGAGTCAAACCATTAGTAAACCAAGGATACGAAGGCCAAAAATAGGCAAATAAAGCTTAAGGCAAACCAACTGAGTCTAGTCATTTGAAACCCAAGGAAAATTGAAAGCAGGTGAATAAACACAACTAGTTAAGTCTAATAGATTTGATTAAAAAGCCTAAGAAATCCATGAACAACAATGTTAATTGAGCAAACAATACTCTCAATGTATAGAAGTCTAACATTTCATCTAACTTATTATCTTTCAACTTTTTGAAGGTGGGGCTAATGTTACGAATAGAAAAAATTCTTATTTTCTATAATATGAATTCCTTTCATCTAAGGAATTCAAAAGAAAAAGATATCGTAATTATTTTTATGTATTGAAAGGGAATGAGTTCAAACCTCATCATAGCCACTAACTTGAATTAATTGTTATATATTTCCTGACACTAAATGTTGTAAGATCAGATGATTGTCAGATTAGTCGAGGTGCGCTCAAGCTGGTGCAAAGTATTACTCCATGAGATTAATCGAGAGCTGGCCCAAACATTTACGATTATCATGGTTGACTTAACTGTAGTTAGTTGTAATTACTTTGAGTTAAAATTTTAGTTAGTTGGTTAAGTCATTTAGTCAGACTTTCTTGTATTTAATCGGAGAAGATACACTACTCTATTATCTTTTAATGGTGAATAAACTACTCTTTTCTCTCATCACCTAATTAATAAACCATGGCTATGGACGATGTTTTCTCCATTCTCCTTCAAGAATAAGGTGTGGCTGGTAGTTAGCTTTATACTATTGGAGATATTGAATGTATGAGAAAGAAATTATAAAACGATTGAATCATAACATTAATATTTGTGACTGTGTATTTGTAAAAATACACAATTTTAAGGATCCACCTTAAAAAGAAAAAAATTACCTTTAACAGATCAGTTATAACGACTTAACTAACTTAGGTTAGCTAGGTTTTGATGAGATAATCCCATGAGATATATAGAATTCAGGATATTTAGGTTAAATGCGTTATAATTACAAGAATAGCTGCTAAAATAAGATTTAAACTAAAATACGACATTGGGAGAAAAACCAGTACACACATGACGATAATAGGGTATAGCAATGACAATACGACCAACGATAAATAGAGAAATATGTAGGAAAATTACAACATATATATTTTGTTATTTAGTGGGAGAAAGAGAAGAAGAAGCATATGAAAATACAGAAAATAACTGTCGTTAAAAGCTGGGGACTGAGATCGGCAGCGGCGGAGCCATCATCTCCGCTACCGCTGCCGCCAGATGCCAACGGAGACGGTGAGTGAGTCAAGGCCCAGCCAAGGTCCGCCATAGCCACCGCCATGGACATGGCAAAAACCAGCAATATTAAGCCAAATTGAGCCCATGATTTTGCAGCAGCTGCCATGAATTATATCTCTGTGTTTTGGATGAGAAAAAAAGAGAAGATTTTTTGGTGTCTCTGAAGGCTAATGCATGGCTCTTTTATAGCTCCGCGATGGGCCCTAGCTTCATCTTCTCAAATATAAACATTATCTACCCCTTTGCGTTTAGTACAAGGGATTGAACGTAAGCTAGCTCCTCCTTCTTTGATCGTAGTAAACTTATCCATCAAATAGATAAATATTAGTTGCTAAACGTAATAATACATCAACAATACTTGGTATTTATCTTTTAAAGATTTTATATCTTTTATATTTCTCTCTTACTTTGTCAAAAATTAATTTAATTGTAGTTGTTTGATTACAAAAATGACCAAACTGCGAACTTCGGCTTGGACGAGAAGAAGACCTGGAAGACTAGATGCAAGTACTTCGAGCAAGGAGCCTGCAAAACTAGAAGACACTCCAACGCTAAAGTTCAGAAGTATCATAGTTATATTGAACAGTGTTCGCGTCCCTGGAATAGAGACAAATTAATGACTTTCTATTTATAGATGATTTTCCTAACAATGTTCCTGACAAGACATTCAATGACTCTTTAAAGTAAGCGTGAATCACGACATGCTGTCATTGAGTCTGTTGGAGAAATGGGGCTGCGTTGAAGATGATCAGGTCGGTTCGACCAAAGAATGGGAACGGAACCCAAGGAAGCTTGGTTGGCTCGACCACTTGGTCGTCATCGGCTCGATACTGGAACCCACTACGGAGGTAATGAAAGCTTGGATGTGTCACGTGTGAGGCTGAAAATCACCTTTAATAGTAGTTACATAATTGATAAATATTTATTACGGGTTCATATTTTTTCATTTATTTAATTTAGTTGGAGGACTTAGTATACACTTTTTTTTTCTTCAAAGAAAAATACCATTTCAAAAGATGAGTATATTTTATTAGTAGTACTGAAATTTTTCCATCCAAACACAACTCTTCCTCATGAGTTAAAGGTTCATAACTCCACCATCCTCGAATAGTTTTGATTAATATTTGATTGAACAAAATAAGTGGAAGATCAAAACAAGGTCAAACGTAAAGAGATGCTGTGTTGTAATTAATGTAATCCTCGATGTAAATAGATAACTTAATTAGCACTTTAATGTTGAAAATCTCTGCAAATGTATTTTAATTAATTTAGCCGAAAAGGCTGACCTCCCCCTCTTTCAAATTCCTATTATAATCTTCCATCGTTGATCAATAATTTCCATTAATTAGTAGTGTTGGTTAGTAAGGATTAGTTGGTATTTGCATTGTATATATATGTTATTAATCTAATAATGTTAATGCTAATTGACTTTAGCATTCCCTACATGTGCCAATTATAAACTGGATGATTATTTTTGTTGCTATCTATCTTAGATATTATTTTATATTTTTTACGAACGTCAGGCCGTTGAAGATATATAACATAGAGAACCGTACAAAGTAGTTCAAAGTAATTATCAAATGCAACGTATTATTTTTAATTGAGTCAAAGAAATTGATTTAATAAAATGTCTAAACTTATTTTAAAATTGGTGATTATCATGTGGTTAGAAAATATGCATGAGTATTGTTTCATATTTGTAATTTAATGAGCATGAAATTAGAAAGGTTAAATACCATTAATGTTGTTACATTTTTCAATATTCTTCGTAATCTTTTGAAATTTTTATTTCATATTTAAATCGGTATAAGGTATTTCTTTAGTATTTTTGCAATTGCTTTATGGATAGACAATATTAAGATGATTTCAATCGATCAAGTATATGATTAACCTTCTTATTAGTCTCTAAAATACTTTAAGCAACATTGTAAAATACATGTTTAGCATAATTTAGATTTGATCGAAGTTAGCATCCCTTTGCGTTACATTCTCTCTAAGAAACTAGCTTAACAACAACTTGAAAATATATTTGGTAAGTTGAAGTTACATATTTTATACATTATATCAATGTGAAAGGATTGCTTTTAAGTGCTAAATATGGTCCTCCACACTTGAATAAGCTTGATGAGTGTATCGTGGATAACATCTTCAATTTCTTGTCGAGTTGGATAGATTCTTGAACATTTTCTTAACGAGCCTTTAATAGGCGGCGCTTATAAAAGAAATTTCTTCTTAGTCAAAAAAGATTCTACTTCGATATCTTATTCTATCTCAAGCTTGGATTAATCGATTCTCCTACAGGCGAAAAAGAAAAAGGAGAGGAAGATGGTGATGGGAAAAGAATATAGATCAATCTATCATTCTGTAAGTTTTTTAAATAGCTATTTGATTTTTCCATTTCACAGGCTAAAAGCATATAAGTAACAATAACAAATGAATAAGAGATAGGGAAAGAAAAAGCTTAACACCATCAGGATTATACTGGTTCACCCCAATCTTGGGAATATATCCAATCTTCTGCAAAAGAGCATGTTCTACTATAGTTGAGAATATTACCATTGAGATCCCACCCAACATATTCAATGACTATCTTGTTTCTAAGTACTCTAACAATAGTTACTCAGTAAACTCACATGATATAAATTCTTTTTCACACACTGTCTACAACCATTCAAGTCTCCTCTATTTGGATTCTATATACATAAAACCTTAACAAAAAGATTCTATTTTTATAAGAGGCAGCATTACAGTCCCTCCACCCCGTATCTACATATCTAGTAAACACATTTTTGTTTCATTATCATCAAGCTAGACAGGAAGAAGGCTCACCTTTTTTTGGGCTGATAATTATCTTTTGTGGGTCGTTGGGTTATTTTCTTAAATAAATGGTAAAGCCACCCAGTTCGGATCCCATGAATCGCGTAGGCGGGAGCTCGCCCGGCCCAGCTCAGAGGCCGATCGTGTGAGAAAGCTTGCCGAAGCGAGGAATTCTGATTCCCTGAGTGCCCGCATCAGCCGAGTGTGTTCCCAAGCAAGAAAAGGAAGCGAAACCAGAAGAAAAAAGGAACTATTTATATGAGACTCGCGTTTCTTCTTTGTTTCCAACTTCGCTCTCTTTGCTGATGGTTATTGATGATTTTTACTCTGTAGCACTGAAGAGAAGGAGGTTCACCTACAACATCAACTCCATGGCTGACGAATCAGCAAAGGTCTTTTCCACAATTCATTATCAACATCCACAAATTTACGTTTCTGAAATCGAGTTCTTGCCTCTTCTCTCTCTCTCTCTCTCTCACTTTTTTTGGCCCCCCAGTTGCTAATACTTCGTTGATTGTAGTAGTTCTTATGCTTGATCCAGTAATTTGATATTGTTGATTGAGGATTATGGGTATTCTTTAATTTGGTATTTTTGGCTTCCTATTGCACTGATATTGTACCATTCTGATCTTAATTTCCTTATTTATTACTCTTTGACTGTGGGCATATTCGCTTTTTTTCCCTTTCATAACTGGGTTAACATTGTTTAGTGAATTGGATTTTTTTTTTGGGTGAAGGAGAAGGATTGTGCTCATGTGCCTAAACAAATTAGATTAATAAAATCTTAAGGGTAACCTACTTGAATTATTCGGTGTACAATCTAATTATCTGGTCGAAAACTATAATTTTGTTCTCTTATTTGGCTGACTTCTAGTAGAAATCTGTAATGATTCTGCAAACTTGGTCCATTTGAATGATATATGCTGCTATTGGTGAATGCTCACTTTTTTATATTCCCCCATGGGATTTTTGAGATTAGGCCAAGTTCCTGGGTGTGAGAGAAAAATTTGGACGAGAGATCCGCGTCTTTGAAACATCACCACCGTCTTCTTCAGCTGATGAAAAACCCAACACTGGTACATATGAATTTAAGTTTGCATCCTTGGATTGAGCTGGACATTAATTACAGATAAATAGATTCTGTGATTTAGAACATCGTTGCTAGCAACTCATTCTATATGCCCTTGTTCTTTTTAGGAGAAGAGGCAGATGATTTTTATGAATTTACAGCGGAAGACTACTATCGAGTATTAGCGACCAGAAAGGATGGTAAGTTGTTGTTATTTCTATTTCACTACTAGAACAATAGTAATTGAGGCACACAATTTTCTTTTGGTCCCTAATATTTTAAGCGTACCACCATGCTTTCCATTTTTCCGTTGATATGGTTGGAACTATCATGTAGGAGAACCATTTTTAAATTTAATAGGTGTTCTGAAACGTGTTATTTCAATCATTTATGATGTTAGCAACAAGTTGGTCTTTATTTTCATTGTGTTATCAGAAGTCTACAATGTCACTTTGAACTCCAAAAATCTCAATGATTATTTGGTAAGATTAAATGGATATTCCTACTTGGCTTCTTCTAGGAATGCATTCAAATATTCATATAAGTGACACAGTGTTACTGTTAACATATATCTATACACACATATAGTGAAGCTCTATTTTCCATCCTAGCAGAGAAATTTTTAAAAACAAGGAAGATCAGGGAGGCAGAAGAGGCAGCTCGCAGGTCAAGGATAACAAAGGTGCTACAAAGACTTTTTATCTAAACTTCTATTCGATAACCCTGATGTTTTTTTTTAGTAGCATTGATATGCTTAGCATATTGCAACTTCTAAAATCATTTTTAGGGCTTTTCCTGACCATTGTGCTGCAGGTTGGTGTACGGGTTCGCTTTCCTGATAACCACACATTAGAGGCGACATTTCATCCATCCGAAACAATGGAGACCTTAGTTGATCTTCTTACCAAAGTAGTTGCTCAACCAGAACTACCATTTTATATTTGTACGTCAGGAAGAACTTGGAACGATCTAATTACCTTTTCTTTATTGTTGGTTTGAAGGGTTCTTGAGGTTTCTTAGAGTTGATTCATTGTTACCAAACATTGCAGATACTACGCCTCCAAAGAAACAGATAAAAGACTTGACACAGGATTTCTATTCTGCTGGCTTTGTTCCTGGCGCAATTGTCTACTTTTCATACGATCTACCTGAAGGTTTGAAATGTAACATTCACCATGATTATTTGAAATTTCTGTGGTTTAACCTTCTAAATACTACATGAGCTTCAATTTAAACTTCTACGCGTGGTATTCAACATGGTATCAACTTTAATGCTTGAATTCTTTCTGTCCAGTCTATTTCTGGACTTTTGTACTTGAGATAGTTCATTAGGACTCCTCCCTCGCATATTACTTATGGTAGATGTGAAACAAGGGCCGGTGAATGACTGTGGTTAGGGCAGTTCAGGAAAAATGTGACAATTATCAGTGGGGCGTATAGGAGAGTGTATAGGAATGAGTTAGAAAATTATTGGGTGATTATAGAAATTATATATACAGCCCGAATTGTGTTGGAGAGGATATCCTTCTTTTACTTGTGTTCACTGGCAACTTTCAGTTTAGGGAGACCATCGCAAAGCTCTTGAATTCCCTAAGGTGGCATGATTTGTAAAGATATAAATCTTTTTTTCCCTTAGTTGAATGAGAGATAAGAATTAAGTTGCTCTATGGGATTCTGAACTTTCAAAACAGGCTACTGATTTCCATTGTAAATTTATTTGGTGCTATGGGCAAACATCAAATAGTTCTTAAATTTTTGTACATACAACTTGAGAAGTCAGTTACAGAGGTTTGGGAAGATGGACTTTCCATATATAAGCTTCGTTTTGTTGTTGCCCTAGATCTTAAAGCAAAAAGCAAACAATGAAGGAAACAGAGAGAGTGACAATCTTTCTTATCTTGCAAAATACTGAACTCCGTTACAACGAAAATCCACTAAGACAGTGGTTGATCTGTAATTGATTAGAAGATTGTTTTAGATTGGCTTGAATGAACTAAAGTTCTTCCTGTAAGAACTGAACCTTGTAGTCTTCAAGAAATCTTTGAAATTTTGAAGGAAAACATTCGTAGTTCAGATGAACTGTTCCAAATTAAGTTCGAATATGCATGACTAATTTTTTGTTGCTTATGTTTCCTATATACAACATCCTACTATATAGAGCGTCTCATATGATGAAGATTGATGTTGATATCCTTATCGTGCATTTATTTTCTTCAAGTATTTGATTTCAGACAAGTATTTTCTTATTTTCCACTCTTTATAAACTGGAATGATATCATAATGAAGTCAAATGTGCATTTCTGGTTCTGATATCTTTTAGTTGTTTCCTAATGTCTGTATTCTTCTTTTTACCCTTGAGAATTGCTTTGAAATGCGATGCATCTGACTCTCGAAACTGTTACGTCTTACTCAGGCGATGCAATTGGTTCAGTCTCTTACCTTAATGAAGAGGTCATGTCTTTGAACGGTCTGGAAATTGTGAGCGAAGAGGAGTCTGTATCTGCTGTTGCAGAACCCGAAACAGAAGCTCCTCCCCCTGCCCCTACTCCTGTTGTCAAGGAAACCAAGCCTACTGGTAAGAAAGCTGTCAAACCCAAGTGGCTGAAAATGTAAAAGACTGCTGCTGCATGGCAAAAACTGCTCATATTTTGGTGAACTACTGCACAGGAGCTTCGAAGCATTGGTAGAGAGCCAGTTCTTGCCCAGAGTTGAGATGAGAGTGAGAGTGAGCAGAGAAATCATCCAGAATTTGTATTTGGTTGAAGGAGTTGTAAGGTGTTGAGGTTGAAGAATCTGGCTCTTTTTCTCTGTCTGTTTGATTAAACTTGTTAATATCCTGTTATTCTATCTTCAATGATGATAATGGATTTTCTTTGACGTTCTCTCTTTTTTTTGTTCTGTGCTTTAAGTTGCAAATGCATGTGGATCTTGCTCCATTGTTGGTGCTTATCATTTCAAATGTATGGTGGTAAGACAGTAATCTGAAATATCCAGGGTTCACAACCACGTTAATACTCTTTATAAATCATTAACTTAGAAATCAAAGGCAAGTTGCACAAAGGTATACTTTTACCCTCTATTTGTTTGCATCATTCAACCGTAGTATTATACAGATACAGAATTTTCAATAGATTTATTTAGATTGCAAACTAAACATTTCTTACCTTTCTTTTAATTACCTTACACAAATTCAAAAATAAAAAAGAAATAGGGAAGAATAAAGAGAATGAACATTAATAAAATCTTGTTCAATTTGAAATCAATGTGTGTTTTTTATTTTCTATTTTAAATATATACATTGGAGTGGAGATTTGAAATTTCTGTCCTAACTCCTATCTCGAAAATTAGCATATTGTAACCAAAGTGGGATGTTTTGACCTCCGGAATCATTGTAACGGAGTTAGCATATTGTAACCAAAGTGGGAATGTTTTAACCTCCGAGACCATTGTAATGGAGTTAGGATAGAGACAATATAGTTAAAGGTGATTGAACGAGAGTTGGAGAGTTAGGATAGATATACATTGTTAGAGGTGACGGGAAGGTATTTGAAATTCATATTCAACATAGTTCCTATAAATAAATAATGAGTGAATCACGTATATAGGAGTCAAAAGAGATATGGAGGACTAAGTCATTCCACCTCTAGTGGTGGCATGATTTGATCTTGTCAGAAGAATTCGAGATATTTTAACATACATAAAAAGAGTTAAGATAGAGATGACATAGTTAGAATTGAGAGTTCAATTTCTTATTGTTGGTTGTCTTCGTCTTCTTCCAGCCATTTTTTTATTCCTTGTTCTTCTTAGTCTTCTACCGAAGATTCGTCTTGATGCATGATTCTAGTAATCATTTTTCAGTTTTTTTTAGCTCCATTGCTCAGTTACATAACTTATGATGGCTTCATCAAGATCAAACGACTTTTTAACATGCTCTATGTATAAAGGCAATTTGAAATAAATGTTTAACTACATTCTTTTTCTTTTCTTTTGAATAAGTAGGTTCAAATTGCATATATCTATTCGATTAAAGGGTGTTCAGAAAATTCAACAACTTGAAAACTTGTAACTCAACCTTATTCAAAATGTTTAAATAAATAAAATTTTTATTGGGTGGGTTAGACATTATAAGTTTAGAACTTTTTTTCTTTTTCATTACCCTAGACAACTTCTTTTTAGTACCAACGATTTGGACCTGGAGTAATTCCTTGACGTTATTCTCATATCGGCTGGGCTGACTATTTTGTTAATTTCTTTTCTATTTTTAACTACATATTATTCTTTTTTGTGAAAGTTCTTCTTATTTCTAAATATTTAGGCGGTTAAAATCATCTCATTTATTTGAGATTTATTTGAGACAGATGTAAAAATATATAAAGTTAAAGTAATAAATATAAATTTTAATTAAAAACTTAGATCTTAAAGCTAGTCAAGTTTATTATTTACTAAATTTTATTTGAGTAGAAAAAAAAGTACCGACTCAAATGATTGAATTGGGTCTAAAAGATATTTCATCAAAAATCTACCCACACAATCAGTATGATAATTATATTATTACGTTTTATTTAAAGAAATTTTATACACAAACAAATAAAAAAATATTTATTTATTTATAATAATATATATATTTTTTCCGAAGATTTTAGTTCTAAATTTTAATTATAAAAAAATTTAAAACTATAATAAAATATATAAAAATTTAAAATGATTCTCTCTCTGAGATGAGAAATTAACGGTGATTAAGCCATCACACCACAATAGGGTAAAAAAGAATATCCGAATCTCTAGCTTCATTTGTGGCCCCACTCTTCCAATTTTCTCGACAAATCCGCCTCCATTTCCCTTAGGTTACCGCTCGCTTGCTCCCTATATATTCCACCTCATAACCCTTCACTCCTGCATACACTACTTTTGTTTTCACTCCGATCTCCATACTTTTTAATCTGTTGATTCTCCTTTCCACTCAGAATCATGGGCAAGGTTAAGATCGGGATCAATGGTATCTATTTCTCTTTTCAATGTGTTTGTCTATCTGTTCCTGATTTTTGCTTTCTGGATCTAGATCTAATATGTATTGCATTTTGGTTATAATCAAGGATTTGGAAGGATCGGTCGCCTGGTTGCTCGAGTGGCCTTGCAGAGTGATGATATTGAACTCGTTGCTGTCAATGATCCGTTCATCACCACTGATTACATGGTAAACTTACGGATTTTCTTCTATGTGTACGTGTTTACATTTTTACTCTTTAGATCTAAGTAAATTGCACCCGATCATAGAGTTCTTCAAGTTTCTGATAATATTGATAGTCCTTGAACCCTAAACCCTGACCTCGAAATTCTAATACTACAGAATGGCTCTGAAGCTTAATTAGATGTTTGGTTTCCTTTCCTTGCCTTTCCTGTTGGATCTTTTATTTAGATTTCACATCATTCAGATCATTGTGAAATTCTGGATCGATTTTTTGTAGTTTTCGAAATGTAATTTTACCGTTGTCTGCAACAGACCTACATGTTCAAGTACGATAGTGTACACGGCCAATGGAAGCACCATGATATTAAGGTTAAGGACGAGAAGACTCTTCTCTTTGGTGGAAAAGCAGTCACCGTTTTCGGTATTAGGTATCTTCATGCGCTTCTTCTTCTACTTTGTCATTTTTCTTTTAGTGATATCATTTTTGTTAATTGAACATTTAAGCATTGGACTTATTCATTAGGAACCCAGAGGAGATCCCATGGGGACAGGCTGGAGCTGATTATGTTGTTGAATCCACTGGAGTTTTCACTGACAAGGACAAGGCTGCTGCTCATTTGAAGGTTTGCAATGACCTTAGCCAATAAGCATATTCATGATCACTGACATTATATTTTAACATTTTCTTTAATGTTGATGGTAGCCGTACGAATTTTGATGAATCATTATTAGTATTTCAATGTGCTGCGCTTTAGCTTCATATTTTGAAGAATTTAATTATGATTGTATGTTGGTTTGGTAATCGGGAAGCAATGCATTTAACAAAAACATGTTGTGTTACTTTCTTGGATCTTACACATTATTTTTTGTAAGGGAGACTAAAAAGAAAATCTTGTTTAGTTTCATTCTGCCAAGTTTTTACCTAGTTGGTTTCCTCTAAACTAGTTTATTTGTCAAATTTTCAGGGTGGTGCAAAGAAGGTTATCATCTCCGCACCAAGCAAGGATGCCCCAATGTTTGTTGTGGGTGTCAATGAGAAGGAGTACAAGTCAGATCTCAACATTGTTTCCAACGCTAGTTGTACCACCAACTGTCTTGCTCCATTAGCAAAGGTAGTTTCATCATTTTAGGATAAAGAGTGCTTAATTCATTTTGAAGTAAATTAGAAATTGACTTTGAAGAAACTAACCCAACTTTCTGTATTAGGTCATCAACGACCGATTTGGTATTGTTGAGGGTCTCATGACCACTGTCCACTCCATTACTGGTGTGTACTATCCCGTATCGATTATTCTGATTTAATGTATAATGTTCAACACTTTCTTACCCTTTTCACCTATGCAGCAACCCAGAAGACTGTTGATGGACCTTCAATGAAAGACTGGAGAGGTGGAAGAGCCGCTTCCTTCAACATCATTCCCAGCAGCACTGGAGCTGCCAAGGTAGGTTTTCCTGGATTGCAGTAATTTGGTTGGAGACTGATTCTCATGTGTTTCATTATGTTTTCAATAATTTGTCTAAGTTCACTACTTTTTGTTCAAATGTGTAGGCCGTCGGCAAAGTGCTGCCTGCTCTAAATGGCAAGTTGACCGGAATGGCTTTCCGTGTTCCGACTGTCGATGTCTCAGTCGTCGACCTTACTGTTAGGCTTGAAAAGAAGGCCACTTACGATGATATTAAAGCTGCGATCAAGTAAGAATCAAGAATTTGTCATTATCTCCTAGTAATGACTGCAATTACTAAGTTAGATTTTTTCAATGGACCTGATTCCTTTAGAGAGGATTCCTCATGGTTGCTAAAGTGGGTTTTTTACTTATGTACCAGGGAAGAATCTGAGGGCAAGTTGAAGGGAATTCTTGGGTACACAGAGGATGATGTTGTTTCAACCGACTTTGTTGGTGACAGCAGGTGAGTAGTACACTAAACAATTGTCTTCAGATGAGTTTTTTTAACTCCATTTTCAATAATTGGTTACTGTTATTGTCGCAGGTCAAGCATTTTTGATGCCAAGGCCGGCATTGCCTTGAACGACAACTTTGTGAAACTCGTCACTTGGTATGATAACGAGTGGGGATACAGGTAAGAAATATTTCATTCTTTTATGCATTTCTTAATTTGACCGACGGATTCGCAGAACAAGAGGCTGAGTTTTCTGTGTTTTGTTGTTTGCAGTTCACGTGTGATCGACTTGATCCGTCACATTAGCTCAGTTTAGGAAGAGATTTCTGATGATGCCTGGCGCTGGTTTTTGAATTATGGAGTTTCTCAGTTATTAGGCCCTGTTATTTGTAGCAGGGAGTTTTAATTTTTAGCGTTGAGTTTGAATAATTGGAGGTTGGCGGAAGAAAGTTTTGTTGGAACTTCGTACTTGTACCCATCCATTCTCTTTTTCAGGGAATTAAATTCGAACGCCTGTTATTTTTTTCCCTTCAAATGAAAAGTTGATACTTTTCTTGGGTTTATCTGATATTCTTGAATTCTGCATTCTTTATATCAATAGGTTAATTGCTTAACAAGTAGCCAAGTAACCAATTTTGCTTAAATCTCCAGTTGGTCGTGTTATGATATCATTTGAAAATCTAATTGTTTTCTTATTTTCAATTTAAAGAAATGTTTTTAGAATTTTATATCAATTTTGAAAACCTATAGGGTTATTCTTTGGAAATATAAGTGGGATCATGTTTTTGTTTTGTTTTCTCTCAGAATATAGAAAACAAAAAATAAGACAAGTATAAAGTATTTATTTTTAAGATTGATAAATTATAAAAGGGTATTTTTCGAAAATTTCCCATGTCCTTAAATATTAAAATCTATCACTAGAACTAACCTTTCTTAGCACTACAGGGTTTATTGAATTAAGAAAACAAAAAGGTCATTCTTTTTATTTTGAGTACAAGTGTACAACATCACGTGGGGTTTGGCACACTTAATTAGACTAGTGAGGTTAATTTGGTAAAATAATTGCTGCTTGAGAAACCTGTTGGGACCTGCGACAAACTAATTAGACAAATTAACCAAGATTATTGCGTTTGATAAATTAAGTTGACCGGAATGGCTTACCGAACTCAAAAAAGAATTCCTATGTTTAATCTTCTTTTCAACAACAAAATTGTTCAAATTTAACAATGGAATTAAAAAAAAAGGGTACGAATGATGACAGTTAAATATATAATAAGATCATATTATCACAATACATTTCATATCTTACCCAATTGAAATATAGAAATAACACAAGACACTTCAAAATTCAAAATATATAAGATCTTATTATACCATTGATTTTTTTTTCTTTTTGATAACATTAGCAATTCAAAATTCTGTTTAAAAAAAATTGAAATTAATCAGATATAGTATAGAATAGGTAGACGTGATATCACCATTTCATTATTTAATTTTAATAGTGCTAAGTGATGTGTTTGGAAAACAAAATGAAACTCAAGACACAAAATAAAAATTATAACATAAAATTGAAAAATAGTATACATTTCAAAAAAAGAAAAGTAGTATGTTAACAGTTACCCTACGGCCCACCCTAAGTGTTTTAAATGTAATATTGGGCCTAGCTTAACATCCTGTTAGTCTTGGGCCAAGCCCAAATAACGTAAACCTAGCCCATATCTTCTGAGAGCTTTCGTGTTGCACAACCCTTGTCCGAATCTTTTCTTCCTCCTTAAACCCCAAACCCTCCTCTCCCCTCCTCTAACCCTCGAAACCCCCACAAGGCCTCGTTTATCGCTCTTTTTCCTCTGTTCTCTAATGGGTAGTAGCCAAGCTGCCGTTTCATTTCTCACCAATCTTGCTCGCGCCGCTTTTGGTCTCGGCGCCGCCGCGTCGGTACTTAACGCCTCCCTGTTCACCGTCGATGGTGGTGAAAGAGCAGTTCTCTTCGATCGATTTCGCGGTGTGATCGACGATACTGTTGGGGAAGGAACTCATTTCTTGATCCCATGGCTGCAGAAGCCTTTCATATTCGACATTCGTACGCGACCTCACACTTTCTCCTCAGTCTCCGGTACCAAGGATCTTCAGATGGTTAATCTGACCCTCCGTGTTCTCTCTCGCCCCGAGATCTCTCGCCTCCCTGATATTTTCAAGACCCTAGGGCTTGAGTACGACGAGAAGGTCCTCCCCTCTATTGGGAATGAGGTTCTGAAGGCCGTCGTCGCTCAATTCAACGCTGATCAGCTTCTGACCGAGCGGCCTCATGTGTCGGCTCTTGTGCGTGAGAGCCTGATTAAGCGTGCCAAGGACTTCAACATTGTTCTGGATGATGTTGCCATTACTCATTTGTCCTATGGCATGGAGTTTTCTAGGGCCGTGGAGCAGAAACAGGTAGCGCAACAAGAAGCTGAGAGGTCAAAATTTGTTGTGGCGAAGGCGGAACAAGAAAGAAGGGCTGCCATTATTAGGGCTGAGGGTGAGAGTGAGGCAGCCAAGTTGATTTCTGATGCTACTTCAGCCGTCGGTATGGGTTTGATTGAGCTTAGGAGAATTGAAGCATCAAGGGAAATCGCATCCACGCTCTCCAAGTCACCGAATGTCGCTTACTTGCCCGGTGGTCAGAACATGCTTTTGGCTCTGAACCCATCGGCTCGTTGAATTGGTAAAATAATGAACTTAAAACAACACGCCATAGGTTTCTTGCTTCATTCTGAAATGGGTTTTGATTTTACTTCTTGAAATTATGGTTGAGTTTGTCACTTTGGAATTTTTTTTTTTTTTAATAAACGTTGCCTCTGTTACATGTGACCATTAATATGTGATTCTACTACTCATTAGCCTGATTTAATAGAGGATTCTTGCATGTATGGAATGAGATCCGCGATAAAAGTCCTTCAAGAAAAACAATACAATATAAAGGCTATTATTGTAAAAGCATTAAAAAATTTTGATAAATCATTATTTAAAAATTTTAAGAATTTTGATAAATCATCATAGTCTTATACTAAGTCGAATTTGTAAATGCATTTTGGTTTGGCTCGAAGGTTATCGTTACCCCTATCTATTATTTTGAAGCAGGTTTGCATTACATAGTTGATCGATTTGGAATATTAGTTGGAGAGCCAATGTCGACACATAAATGAACCCAAGGGTACATAAAAACTAGTGGTAAAGGAACATACTAATATCTAGATTTTTTTTTCAAATGCGAAGTGCTCTTAGAATAATAATCCTTTGGACCCTAGGTAGGTGCCAAGTACATAAAAGCTCAAATTTCAGTGAGGTAAGTCACATTATATATATTACATAACATTGTTCATTCAAAAGAAATTTTAAAGCTTGCTGAGAGGGTATTGGCATGAATGGAGACTTTTTTCCCAAATGAATTGAGAAATTGAAGAGGTAAGCACCTGCCGAGCAGTAAATTTTTTGACTAATTGCCCTGATAAAAGTAGTGTAAAGTTTGAAGCAATTGGTTACATCTTTGTGAAATATCTGTTTTGGAAGTTGGCGGACAATCCTAAAGCAGCTTTGTGAAGTTGGAAACATAAGATTCCATAAAAACGAATTTTTAATGGACATGACTCCTTGGTAGAGTTAATATGGGGGGCTTATTCACATAGGTGGTGGACAATGATTTATTCATGCTTTCTTTACAGGCTGATAGAAGTCAAAACCATCTAATTTTTTAATGTGAGTATAGTTATACTGCTGGGAATACTCAATTTAGGTAGTTTTTAATGGGTAGGATCAAACAATTGCATGCCCTGTTTCCTTTACATTACTTCTACCTGGTTCCTTGAATGCCTAAACCTCTTTGTAATTACGTACCAAGTGTAATTATTACTTCTTGGATAAATTTTTTGTGAGCTACTTGAATAGGGTATATTTTGTTTCCATTTTGTACCTGATCGATGAGAACTTCATTTCTTATTAGAAAAGTAAACGATAGAAATTGATAGAGATTAGAAGATCTTAGGGAATGAAATGGAAGAGTCATTGCTCAAGTCTTCCAAATCCAATGGGCATGAACTTGTGAGAGATAGAGGAAGTGAGTGGAAGAGAGATCACAAGACTAAGAAAGATGGTAGGAGATAGAGAGATATAGAGATGGAGATGGAGGAAGAGATGAGAAATGAAGGGAAAGAGAGAGAACAACTGGAAGGTGTAGAGTTGGTAGTTGAGACTTGGGTATTAATATTATGCCTCTAGTTTAAGGTAGATAGAGGGATAGAATCTATCTTGGATAGAAAAGCAAGAGAATGATATGAATAGAGAAAGGAGGGCCGGCCCTTGCCCAAGGCTAGCTAAAAGTTGCCTGTATTGATCTTTGTGAAATGGCCTTAGCCGGGCTTTTAATTTTGATCTAGATGATTTTGAGGTCAGGAATGAAGCTTTAGCAGTCTTTTTGTTTAGGATATAACTGTATTTTTGATTTACCTATTTCAAGAGTTGGACTTATAGGTGGAAGCCTTTTTAGATCAATGCAAATGTTAAGCTGGCCTATTAAGGTTACGTGCTTTTTTTAAGGTGGTATTGAGGTATGTTAGATGCTCCAGAACTGAGTAGACTGTAACATAGTAAAGTTGAATTAAATAAGAGTATACCACTTGGAAGTCGTTATTAATATACAGGATTCTTGGTCCCCCCACCCCTCTCAATTTCAATTGGTGGAAGTTCTCGGGTTAGGCATTTTGTGATATCTATGCATGTCCCGAACCCCCCCTGGACTGTTATCCCTTTTTGTTGTTAATCCTATAAAAAAAGGGTTATATGTGCATGTCCTATACATCTGTTCCATAGTTGGAATTATTGGGAGCATATACACATGTATAATTTATTTAGTTAGAGTTGCAAGGCAAATACCCAATTTCTTTGTCATTCAGTTCACTTTATCATCATATTGCTATTATATTGCTCCGAGGTACCCTAGGTCCCAGCACGAACAAAATGTTGGTGGAAAAAGAATCTTTTATACTGCCATGGTTGTGAGTGTAGGGGATGAAGTGTATGGCGGGCTCTTTTGAGTCATTTTAGTAAAGAAATACGTCGATCTCATTTTTCAACTTTTTCTACCACTTATCCGTTTTGACATAACGAAAAAAGTACGTTATATTAGTGGTTGAGCTTAGTTTTACAGAACACTTGTATCTCTACATGCAGAGTTTCTTGATGGAGTGCTTGGAAGGGTGATCTTCTCGGACATTGAGTTCTCTCCCTCTTGTTCGTATTGGTAAATGAATATCATTTCAATCTTCTGTAGAATAAGAAAAATTAACAACTTTTTTGTCTCGTAGAAATATTAGTTTGATTATCGACCTTATTCTTGACTTGAGAAACAGTTTTCATGGAATTTTTGCCTGGTTGGGACTTCATATTCTATGAGCATGCCTTCGTTTGAACATGTGGTCTGTTTCATTTGGTTCCCTCCCAAAGAAAATGGAGGATGGTGGTCTTGTTTTATTTTCCATCTTACAGCATCGCTGTGTAAACAATATTTTCCTTTTCATTTCTGGGATACTTTTATAATAGAACTTCAAATTTATTGTCACTTGGGAATAAATGTGGTTGTTTCTAACAGAACAAACAGTAATTTCGAAAATAGTTTTCGACCTTTGAAGAAGAATAGAGATTTTAGAACCTACTGTGTTCTTCCTCCAGGTCTTCAAAAATCTATCTTTTTTATCTTCCTCCCAAAAAGAGGTATGCTTTGCTCCTTAAAAATAAAGAGCAATTAAATAAAGACTTTATTTTTTACGACAAAGTTGACATCTGATTATGTTTTGGTTTTCACGTTTTTAACTATTTAGTTTTACTTTTAAAAATTTTACAATATGATCAAGTCTTTGACATTAAAAATATAAAATAAATGTAAATTATAATAAAATTTGCGAGAAATTGAGAAATAAAAATACAATAAAAAGTCAATATTTAATTAAAGAATATGTAATTATAAATATTTTCTTCTGATTGGTGGGTTTAGACTTTAAATATGCGGAAGATGTACGTTTTCCCCTTGGGATTTGAAATCCTTATAACAACGGGCCTAGCCGAGCTTATAAATTCTCACAATTAAGGTTTCTTTTTGCACAAGCAACTCACAAGCTCAAAACAAAAACAATCGATTTTTTTTTTTTTTGGAATGGGGAGCAGCCGCGCTGCCGTGTCGTTTCTCACCAAATTAGCCGCTAGCTTCGCATTTGGCGCTGCCGGCGCCGCCTCGATTATAAATACGTCCACGTACACCGTTGGGTGCGGCGAACGAGCCATAATCCTGAACCGATTTGGAGGCGTAATGAAGGAGAGTTTGGGGGAAGGAACTCACTTCGTCATCCCATGGCGGCAGAAGCCAATTATATCCGACGTGGCTGCACGAACCCACAGTTTCGCCCCTGTTTCGCAGACCAGAGACCTCCAGTGGGTGAATCTGAGAATATCCATGCAGTCACGGCCGGATGCGTCTCGACTTCCCGATATTTACAAAACCATAGGGATTTCGTATGGCGAGAATGTGATCGCGCCTTGTATCCGCGACGAGGTTCAGGATGTGGTGGGTCAACTCCACGCCGACGAGCTTTTGAGCCACTGGGTTCGTGTGTCGGCGGTTCTGCGTGAGAGACTGATTTCGCGAGCGAAGGAGGATTTCAACATTCTTCTAGATGATGTTCGTATCACTCCTGACTGATTAGATTTTTTGAATTCAGTAGGGTTTTTTATGGTCTTGATTCATTCTGTATCTATGGTTGATCTTCGTAAATTAGATTTTTGTTTATTATACTTCTTCGTGGCTGCCTCTTTTGTCTATTAGCCTGATTTAGTAAAGATTTATTCTTCCATGTACGGAATCGGTAAAATCTTAATAATAAAAATGTATAAAAACTAGAAAAAAAATGATTACCAAATCACATCTAAATAATGTGAAGCGTACGTCTTCAACATAGCTAATTTGAAACTCAATATCATCATTTGGATTTCATTGGGCTCGAAATCCAAAGACTGGCTCAAGCCCAACCCATGTTTGAATCCAAAGCTAATATTTCATCGGCTCGGTCCAATACAGTCCATCCAAAGTCAATGTTTGATTGTCCTTTCACCCCGCCATTGATTGTTTTTTAAATTTGGATTGGTCTGTTTGACTGATCCAAAGGCCTAGTCCAATATAATAATATTTTAAATATTAATATATAATTAAATAGTATTCTATCTTATTTCTTATTCTCATTTTCATTTCTCTAAATTTTCATTCTTTATATTAACATAATAATACAATTTATTTTTCTAAAAATAAATTGATTAAGTTATAAATGTATGATGTAATAATCTTTTGGAAAAATAAAAAAAATAGTAAAAAATTCAAATAAAAACAGAAATTCTAAAACTAAAAAAGCTTTGGTTTGAAAAAATATTTTAAAAATTTAAAAATACTTTGTTATATGGGTCAATTCAAGCTCGATAAAACTAGTCAGGTTCGATTTAATTTTGACTCATTGAATTAGGTCCATGAATTGGACCATAAACTTACGTTTTAGTGGTTGGGTCGTCTCAAGTCCAAACCAAAACATTATTTGGGGTCCATATTGTTTGAATCTTGATTTCTTTTGAGATTAGCCTAATAGCGAGGATGATTTAAAAATGATTTATAAAAAGGGAAAAGAGAAAATAACAAGGTTGTTAAATTGGCCTTAAACAAAAAATGATAAATTTGAGGCATAAGGATTAGTAGTAGGAGGGCAATCATAGATGTTGACTAAAATAAAAAACACAAAGATGCAAAAACTGAACGAATGGGATAATTTTTGCATCCATTCCCATAAAACATCAGTTCATTTATTTTGCAACAAACAAAATCAAATCTTTTAACTTAGAGCCATCATTATTGCAACGCATCACTTCCTGCCTGCTGTGGCAAAAATCATCCTCCCTCACACATTTTCCTAAGTTTAATAATTATAGAAACATTTAAGATCCATAAGATTTACAAATTTAAAAATAAAAAAGATAGTAAAATGTATCTTATCCATTTGAGCTATACTTCATTATTGGAAATTTTTTTTTATTCATTCATTTTCTTTTTCACATTTTCATGTCCCAATTATGCCTTCATTATCACTTTTTTAAGACTTAACCGTCTCGTCTCGTCTCGTTATATTTCTAAATGCACAAAAACTAAATCATTACAAATAAAAATATGAGAATCTAATAAAGTCGTATGTTTATGTAAGAAGTTGTATTTGCCATCCATATCCAAATTTAATGAAAACGATTCATTACATTGAAAATATTTAAGATACTGATGATTCGAGAACAGCAGGAAAAGTACATTGAATTTGGAGTTCCATGACAGGGGAAAAAGAAGGTTGTTTGTCGCTTACCACACCCAAAAACTCTTGGACTCGACCTTCACTTCTATATATGCTTTACTTTCTTAATTTTTGTTAGATTTGACTTGATGTTTCTTGCCATTTTTCTTTGGCTTCCATTCTTCCCCACCTGTTTGACTACAACAAGGAAAAAAAAAAGTGACTAAATTTCACTGTTATAATCAATTGCAATTATTTGATACCAAGAAAAGGACAATGGTACCAGTTGGTTATGAAGTGGGTCCTATTACACTCTGTCGTTCACTGCTATTGTAACATAAATCTTATCAAGAACTAACTTTTGAAATAAACAAATTCCCGATACATCAGGATGGTGTGGGTAAAGTTTCAAGTGATACATTTTTTTTATACTTGTCCGACCAGTTACGATTCATCTCAGGGAACAACTGTTTAATCCTACAATATTTGTTATTAAGAAATTCATAGAAATTACTAATTACTAAAGTAATATATTTCGATTAATATTTTTGAACAATGTCAAAAGGTAGATAAAATATTGAAAAGTATGAGAAATGTCACACAGCCCAATATATGACTTCAATAAAATTTTTATAATTATTTTAAGAATATCTTTCAACATTAATATCTCGCTTTTGTTCTTGCTTTTATTTTTATTTTATCTCTTCCTCAGTCGTTCTCCATTTTGGAGAGGTGAACGAGTAGAAAAGTCACATAAACTTTTTCTATGCAATGATATCGTATGTGACTTGATTTATAGTCATTTTTCATTGTTTTATAATCCATAATTTAAAACTATTTACAAATTATGTCCAAATTCAAATAACAAAGTAGTTTTTTAAACTATATTTTTGAAGTTTAATTAATATTTTAGAAGTACCTCTAAAAAGTAGAAGACAAAAAAGAAATACTTATTGGTATACAATTTTATTTTAAAAGAAAAAGATGGAATTTTTTGAAAATGAAATAAAATTGGGTCTAATTTATAGGATCAATGTAAAATTTAATGTGGGGTTGAAATAGTTAGCTCACACTATTGTTGAATCATGTATAGGGGTTGAAATGTCCTATCTTGCTTTTATAGAATGTATAGCCACACTAACTATACAATAGTTTTTCAAAAAAAAAAAAAAAATCCACAAATCATAATTATATTCTATTGGATTAGTAATAAACATTGCAAAGTGACTGTTTGTGATACATCAATTTTTCTACCTTGAAGGCGTAGTGCAAATAAATATAGGTCAATTTTTTTTATTTTTTAATTCGAATGGAAGAATTCAAACTTTTGAGTCCATTTAATCGAAGTACTAATGCTTTAATGAGTTAAATTATGTTCTTTCGATATATAATAATGTGAAATGATTTTTTTTGAATACTGATGTGAAATGGTTTATATCAAGAAAGAAACTATTTATCCAAAAATATCATCCCTCTAATAGATTTTTTAATGAAATGGTTTATCCAAAATTGAGTGTGCAATAGATAATAATCATAGATTAAAATTAATTGAAAACTAGTTACTCCTTTAAATAAAATAATAATAACAAAAATAAAAAATAAAACTACCACACCTTGTGAACCTCTTCCAATATAGTTGTTGTGATAGTGGATAAAAGTCCCACAACAATGTGATATTGTCCACTTCAATCGTCTATACTCGCAAGACTTTACTTTTAGGCTAAATTACAAGGCACCACATCACTTCTAATCCTAGATTATGTTGGCATTTTTAATAATATCAATCGGTGTATCACAAACATAAACATAACTCAACTGATTAAGGTACATATCTCTGATTAAGATATCGTAAGTTCGAATTTTGACTCTCACATGTGATACTAAAAAAAATGTAGTACGATAGAAAAGCAAAGAAAAAGACTGGTCGAGAGAGATAAATGTGGCGGTGCATTATTGGTGTTAAAAAGGAAGCAAGGAAGGCAAGAGACAGGTGGTGAGGCCAAGGCCTTTGATGAATAAAAAAGGAAGTGCTTTTAAAGTTAAAGCTGTCCTTACTCACATGCCCCTTCTTTTTCTTTCCAACCCCAATCTCACCAAATCTTCCTCTTTACACACACTCACATTATTTCCTCTTCCCTCTCAAATATATGTAACACATTATGTACTTTTAGTGGGAGATTCGAACTTATGATCTCTCGGTCAAAACAAGTGTCAATTATTACTGAGCTGAACTCATGTTAACAACAAGCCTAACAACGTTAGTTTGTAGCTACATGGGTGTGTTGGCTCTTTCTCGATATGCTCCTTTGGAATGAGCGCATGCTTTTGATGGACCACTCCAACTCACTATGTAAGCTCACCACATCTCCACTAAGATGTATATGTATGCGCTCTTGCTAAGAAATTTTGTTAATAGCAGCATTAGGTTAAGAAAATAATTGATAAATTATTGACTCATTTTTATCTAAATATATAATTCATTTACAAATTTTACTCGATAGTCTTAAAAAACATTTATAGATCCAATATCGCATTTAATAAAGATTTATGATACATATATAGGGTGTACTCAATATGTTCATACTTGCCTCATGGATGTATTAAGAATGATATTTTAAAGTGTGGACGGATTATAGTGAAGTAAATAGTTTTGGGTCTAAAATAAAAGACTGTGTTGATTGGAAGAGAAGTGAATCCACTAAATAATGTAAATAACTCACGCATGGATTAAAATAAGAAAACTGTCTTACGAATGTCCATAGTTAAGCTACATTATAGCCTTGGAAAATGAAATTAAATACACTACTAATTCGAAACCTATTAACTAGAATACAAAAAAATGAAGGTAAAATAAAAGAAAGAATAAAGAAGAGCAATGAATAATCTAGAATTTTTTTTTACTGAATTGACCATAATATATATATATATATATATTAGTACAGAAATGACCTTACAATTGTTGCTCAGCCTCCCCCTTTATACGGTCCCCAAGCCCAAGATGTGTAAAATCGCTCGAAAGAGACTTTAAATAAGATACCTTGGGACGAGGTTCAGGTGTTCATAGGGTAATCTTTTTCTCTCTTTTTTTACGTAAAACCTCGTTTGATCATAATTCAATTGATTAAAGTTTTAGTAATTAAGGGTTCATTTGGTAACGTTCTCGTTTTTCGTTTTTTATTTTCTAAAAAAATCTAAGTATTCTACAACTAACTTTATTTCTTGTTTCTCCTTTTTTTTAACATTCCCACAATTATATAGAAATTTTGGGAACAATCAAAATAAGTTTTTCTTTTATCATTCCCATTTTCAATTTGTTCCAAAATATAAATAAAAATATTATTTATTATACTTAAATTATTGGAAGTTGAAATCATACATGTAACTCTTTTTTCTTCATTATTATTAAAAATAAAGAAACGAGAAACGAGAACGTTACCAAACGAGTCTTAAATTTTCCTTACTAGATTTGAAGCTCCATTCCATAAAAAATGTGCATCGTCTTGACTTTTCCAGGAGATTCAAATCACTTTAAGTCATGGTACAAGATTATTTATTTTCTTTTTTTTTTTTAAAAAAACATTTACATAAATTTAAGATCACAAAATGTACAATAAATGAATGAATTTACATATCAGTCTGTCCTAGGTATGGCTGTTGAAGTCAGTTCTCTCGTGCACTCAAACAAAAGTGGTCCTAATTTTTTAACATAGCATAGTTGATTTTGACAAATCAATCTACATTTTTGCTTTCATAAAGAAACAACTTTGATAAGAAGATAAAAGGGATCATGATTCTTCCTCCATGGAGCAAGCTTTTTTCTTTTTTTCTTCTTTTAGAAACAATGTAAAAGAAGGGTAAAGCTAACACAAAAGTATTAAACAAGAAATATACTTAAAAAAAAAAAAAGGTGGATAAAACATTTCACCCCCTTTCGCCTTTCCCTCTTCTCTCTTAATTTTTTTAAAGTGGAGGAGTAATTGTAGTTCTTGTAAACAAATTTGAAAAAAGAATTGGTGTTAAGAAAAGAAAAGAAGGAAACAAAGAAATATGAAAAAAGAGAGTGGGATTATTGGAATTCCCTCCTTGTCATGTAGTAACCATTCACTTAAATTCAACCATTATTCATTGAGTTGCTTAATACAGAAACTTAAATAAAATTAATAAATAATGGAGGTATGATTAGAGATCTGTTTGGGGAAAAAAGGGAGAGGGTTTTTTCCTTTTCCATTTTACACAAAAAAGCTTCTCATTTGTTCTCTCTTTTGTGTGTATCCCCCACTCATTCAGCTGTTCCCTCCATCATTGCATCTACCAACATCACTAGTTATGTCAAGTGTACGGACATGTTTCTTTCACATCTCTTTTCTTTTTTTAAATCGAATATTTTGTTTTTTATACTTTTAAAATATGTATTTCAATTTGAAATACAGCCATAAATGGTGACCAAAATAGTCATTTTTTAAAAATACAGAAAAATTAAAATGAACAACAGTTGAAATTAAAGAGACCAAAATAGATGTTTTGATAGTATATGGGTCAAAATGAATCAAAGTTGAGAGCACAGAACACTATTTACTAAAACACTATTTAAACCAAAATTTTTAAATATTTTGTACTAACCTTTTATTACTAATGTTTTTTTAATAAACTCTATAAACTATCTTTTTGTTTATTTATTTGAGGAATATATACTTAATGTAATACTTATGTAGTAAGTGTTGGTTTAACAAACTCAAAATTTTTGTTAAATAGTTTTTTTCAAAGAGACTAAAATGAAATATTTAGAAGTTGAAGAATTGAATAAAAAATTGAAATTTTAATGATGAAAGTAGAATAAATAAAAAAGTTCAGAAACCAAAATTTAGATTTTTTTTTATTTACTATCATTGACTTATTTTTTTTCAGCAGCTTTAAAGTTATATAAAACTCAAAAGATCCCTATTTATCAATTAAATTGATTGTTGAAGTTACAAAAAAAAAAAAAAACCTGATTAAATAAAATGGATTCTGTTAGTTAATTCTCTAGACCTCGAAGGTAGAAATAAGAAAAATATCATTTCACATCATCTATCTTCTTTTCCCAGTAAATCTCACACGAATAGTTCGGTGGGTCACCGAGCCTCAAGAAGGTCCTAGTTTGAAGCATCTCGTGCAATCGTCAGCATCGTGTGTAACATATTTTTGAAACGGCCATAATAGATCGAAGATCAATTCCATAATCATGTATGCAATTTTTGTTTTTTTAAGTATTTGTTCTCTCACATGCTAGGTAATCCAACATAAACAATATGTAAGGAGACATGCACACTCTAATAGTTTGAAAATTCACATGAATAACCCTTGTTTTAAACTGAGCTAAAAAAAACTCTTATTTTATTATTTGAACTATTATTTTTTTAAAAGTACTTGTCAAAATTGTTTTGAAGTATAAAATCCTTTTTTTATTTTGTATACCTAAAAAGTCGAAATTTTGTTTTCATGAAAAAGAAATCTAGTTATCTTCTTACATGTAAATGGAGCCACTCAATTGTTCGTTGGTTCTTATTAGTTGTTATATCTAATCTAACTCAATCTTTCCCTTTCCATAAAAATCTATTTACCACAATATTTGTATTTTGTTATGTCTACTCCAATTCCCTAACTTATGAGGAGGGGAAAATTTAACTATTTAACATCACAACTTATCTTCATTATATCATAAATATGAATACACTTCTAATATTAGTTTATTTTACTAAATTATTAGGGACTAAATTAATAAATATACAGTGTAATCCCTCACTTCATATAATTAATATATCATTCATCTCTTTCATGGGTAGACTCTTAAAAAGATCTACAATTTTACCAACTTAATTAAGTTTATGAGTTAATTCAAGACTAATCGAAAATATATAACTTTCGATACAACTTGTTAAGAATACATCTGGGAGTGATTTTAATTATGCCAAAATATCAGGATATGTTTGAAAAGGATTTTAGCAGTGACCAAAATCACCACTTTTGTTGTCATGGTCACAATCATTTTAATTGAAAATAGTAATATTTTACAATAATATATAAATACTTTTAGAAAGAACAAAAAGAATAATTTTGGCAGTGAAAATCACTCCCAAACATTTCTCTTGTTCTTTTTGGATGCAATAAATGAAATTTTTTAAGATTAAGGTATTTTTTCAAGAAAGAAAAGTGATTTCTTATGATAACAAAGATAAAAATAATTAAAATTTTTTAATTAGGAGAATTGAAAATAACCATAAAATAAAGCCTTTGCTGTTGATTTAGTCGGCCATGGCGTCTTACTAGTTACCATAAAATTCCCTTTGAATACAAAATGGAGCATTATTCTCCGCCATTGAAAATCCAAAAATCGGTTAAAGAAGAACCAATATTTGGTTTGGCTTCGATATCTCCCACGAGCCACGACCTTATTTTCAATATAGTCCACCGTCCAGCTTTCTCAACAAGGCCTGCTACATTTTTTCTGAATTCTGAAAACCTTTTTTTCTGAATTCTGAAAGCTTTTTCTGTTCCCAATGATGGCTGCCCCACTCCCTTTCTCCCTCCATCATCTCCTTCTCCTTCACCCTCCTCTCACTTCCCGCCAATACCCTCTTCCCCTTCTTCAACCTTCTCCCATGGCCATGGCTTCCGCTCCTCTTAGGTCAACTCTTTAACCCATCGCCAATCGGGTTCGTTCTTCTGTTTTCTTAATTTTTCCAACAATTACTTTATAATTGAATCGTGGGTCTCTCTCCAAATCTCCTAAGAACTCATAATTTTGATACTCTGTTTTACTTTTAGCTCTTGAATTCATTTTGGGGTTTCAAACTGTCGCCTCTTTTAGCTTTGCTGTGTCTTTTTCTGCTGTTTATTTGTTTAATGCCTCCGACGTATTTTCCTCTCCGGTGGGAGAGCACCGGCGACCAGTGGTGGTACGCTTCTCCGATCGATTGGGCGGCTGCGAATGGCCATTACGATTTGGTCCGGCAGCTCCTCCGGATAGACGGCAACCACCTCATCAAACTCACGTCTCTCCGGCGGATTCGCCGCCTCGAGACCGTTTGGGACGACGAAGAACAGTTCCACGATGTCGCGAAATGCCGCTCCGAGGTTTCTCGGAAACTTTTAATGGAGTCCGAATCGAAAAAGGGGAAAAGTTCCCTCATCCGCGCCGGCTACGGCGGATGGCTGATTTACACCGCCGCCTCCGCCGGCGATTTGGGGTTCGTTCAGGAACTGCTTGAGAGAAACCCTTTGCTCGTGTTCGGAGAAGGGGAATATGGGGTCACCGATATTCTCTACGCCGCCGCCCGGAGTAAGAACTCTGATGTCTTCCGCCTTCTGTATGACTTCGCAATCTCGCCGCGGTTCTCGACGGGGAGAGGCGGCGTTTCGGAGGAGCATATCGGCGAGCTTCCGGTGGTTTACAAATGGGAAATGATGAACAGGGGTGTTCATGCCGCCGCCAGAGGAGGCAATTTGAAGATTCTTAAGGACCTTCTCGCCGATTGCTCCGACGTATTGGCTTGCAGAGACGCCCAAGGATCCACCATCTTGCATGCAGCTGCCGGAAGAGGACAAGTCGAGGTGATATTTATTTCCATGACTGTCGTTTTCTTACTTTTTTTTAATCATTTTTCATGTTCTGTTTGAGGTTTTTCTGATATGAAACAATAGAATAGGCCTCCATGAATGCATCTTTGTTTCTTATTTAATTCTCACAGTTGTGGTTAGTTTTAATTTTGTCTCTAAGTTAATAACATCTAATCAGTTTCAAGATTTAACCAGATCATAAGTATCATATTGAAACTTTTAAAATCATTAGATGAAATTAAAACTAAGTACAAATGTTAATTTAAAATTTAGAAAGAAGTTGAGGGTGGAATTGTTTGGTTACTGCATGTATGTGAGAACTGAGAACTGAAGCTTTGTTGATTAATGCAGGTGGTTAAATACCTTGTCCAAACATTTCCTATCATCAATTCCATTGATCATCAGGGAAACACAGCATTGCATATAGCTGCTTGCAGGGGTCAACTGGCTGCAGTTGAAGCTCTTATTGCTGCATCTCCTTCATCCATCTCTTTAAGAAACAATGCTGGTGAAACTTTTTTGCACAAAGCCATTTCTGGCTTCCAAACTCCTGCTTTTCGTCGACTTGACCGACAGATCGATCTTCTGAAAAATGTGATTTGTGGTAAAGTTCATAACATGGATGACATAATCAATGCCAGAAACAATGATGGAAGAACTGCTCTTCACATGGCTGCCATTGGGAATGTTCATTCTGATCTTGTGCAACTTTTGATGGCTGCTCGGTCCATCAATTTGAACGTTCGAGACATGGACGGCATGACGCCGCTTGATTATCTCAAGCAAAATATGCATTCTGCATCAGCAGACGTATTAATAAGACAACTGATTTCTGCTGGGGGAATGTTTGGTTGTCATGACTACAATACAAGAAAGGCTATTGCTTCACGGTTAAAGATGCAGGGGATTGGAAGCAGTCCTGGGACCTCGTTTCGAGTCTCGGACACTGAAATACTGTTGTATACAGGCATTGAGAATGGTTCTGATATAATACCTGATCACGGCAGTGCAGGAATGAGTTCATCTTCGGTCGAGTTGAGTCCATACGATTCGACCAATGATAATCACAACTCATCATCAGCTGCTAAGAAATCTAGTTCTGTAAACTCTGCAGCGCAACGGTTGAAAAGCGTCTTCCAATGGTCCCGAATTAAAGATAAGAAGAAAAACGAGACAACAAAGAAGCCAATGGATGAGGGCTCCATTGAAGATTCACACAAGAAATACAGCAGTTCAGATGAAGCTCCAACCCCTTTGAGGCAACGGTTCTCAAAGCCTTTGGCTCTTCCCAACAACAAGCGGACACTTTCGGTTCGGAGTAATCAATCGAGCCCATCCGCTAAGAAGAAACACGCAACTGGTTTAATGCGCGGTGTGACTCAGGGCATGCCACACATTGCCATTCCCCATCGATCCCGCTCTAGTTCATTTTCAAAATCATCACTTTCATCACCCAATTCAGTAGATAAACAGAAAGGCGTTTACTTTGACAATGATGGTGCAGGACCATCTTGTTCAAACCAAGCCATCGACAACGAAACGCCGTATCTGGGGAAGCAAGGATCGGTTGATAGGAAGTTGAGGAGCCAGTATTTCTGTTTTGGTGCAGGAAGCCTAATTGGGAAAACCACAGTTAGCAAGCAGAAGCAGAGCCAGAGTTACAAAATTCCAGCGGTTTCAGTGACATAGAAGAGAAGAAGAGGGAAGACGAGCGACGCTGCTGTCGGGACTCTTAACTTAGAACCTAAGAAGTAAGTGCCAAACTGTCTGATATATGTTTCTGTAAATTGAAGCAAACTTAACTGAAGTAGCCATGTAATATGTTGTAGTTTGGAAGTTTGGTTTGTTTCTAGGAACCCTGGTGATACAAAATAAGAGATGAAGGGCCATGTATAAGTAAAATATGGTGGTTGGTTGGATTATATGATTTTCAATAATTAACTAGAAAGAGTCAATGTCAAGTAACCTACTGGAATGGCTTGCAACTTGCAAGTGAGAACTGCAGACAACATGTGATTCAAGGCCTTCACTTCATATCCAATTTTGTATCTTTTGTTTATTTCTTTATTTTTTTAGTCTCATTTGTTGGGTGATAAAAAATGCTAATTGACACTAGTCTCTCATCACGAGTTCATGAGTTCGAAAATCCCGCTTGTTTACTAAAAAAAAGATTCTAGAATCCCAACAAACATAATATTTATATTATTACAATGAAAGAAACACCATACCTGTTGTGCATACATATATACTAGATGCCAGCAGGCCATGAAACTATACTTTAATATACATATTTTGGAGAAGAAAAAGATGACCTCTAGCTATAACCAGAAAAGGTTCAATATTCCATTCATACATGAATCAAAAAAGGAAAATATCAACAAAAACACTCAATTTTCTCCATTTTGAGTCCCGTAAAAAATCAGAATCAGAGTGTAATTAACATCTCAAATAGAACAATACAGAAAGTGGGTCTGTCTTTGTTTCCCTCAATCTGGAAATCCTATGCACGCAATAACTTCGTTGCCTTGTTTGGAACTGAAATTCGTAGACAATTTCAAGACACACAGAATTTTGCCGGCAAGCAATTAATTAATTCGAATCAATCCCACAATTAAAAATGAATACCGAGTCTTTGGCCCAAAGAAAAAAAAGAAAAAAAGAAACCAAGTCAAACAAACAAATATTGAATTTTTGTGTTTGGATAGGAACGACGAGGAGAATCATATTTTCCATAAGAACTTATCAGTTTCTTGCGCTGTGAAGACCTTTAAGGAACTCTCAGTCGTCATCTCATCTGAGTTTTGTTTTGTGTGAGAGAAGTGATTATGGGAACTCAAGCTCCAGAATTTGAAGCTGATTCTAAAGCTTTTAAAGATCGTTCTTTTGTAAGTTATTCCTCTCCAGGCTTCTCTCCTTTACCTCTGTTACTTTACTTCATCTTCTTCTTCTCTTTCATGTGAAAGATGAACTCCCTGATTTGTTTCAAATCTCTCCGTTGCCATATGCTTAAAAATTAGTCTGAATTTCTGTAGAAATGTTTGAGTTTATGCGACCTGTGCTTTGATTATATGCTCGATAAATAATATAAGGTTTTAAAAGTTTTCATTTTCTTAGTATAGCCACTTATGTTTAGTATGTGAGTTCACGTAATTTAGAAAAGTTAGTAGATAGAAAATAAGGTGAATTTTGAAGACTAACACGTAGAACTAAAAGAATCGATGTATCAAATTTTGTTTTGGCTTTCCAATCCATGCCAATTGGGATATTTTTCAAAAACAATTTTCCTCCTAAAGAAAAAGTTTTATTGAGTTGAGGATGATTGTTTTGATTAGAAAGAAAGGGAAAAGGGAAAATTTTCCATCATCCTTGGTATGCTATGAACAAAATTTAAATGTGTGGGATAGTTTTTTGTTATCTTATAGTATGCAATTAATAAGAAAAAAAACATTAAAATTTTGTAGATATAGAGAACAACGAAGAAAATTGTACGTAAAAGATTAAAAAAAGAAGAAGAATGAAGAAGAAATTTTCTTTTCCTTTCAAGATTTACATGTGATTTCATATAACATTTTGGGAAAAAAAATTAATGACATAAAATGTCATTAAATACACAAATTTGAATTGAAAAAGAAATAAAAACAATGAGCTCCCTCCTACCCAAAATTGTTTTTCTTATTTTTTAAATAGTTAAAGGAAAAGGGGAATGGGAGAAAGTTTTTTCAAAAAAGAAAAAAATGAATTTCAATTTATGACTTAGGAAAGTCACGTTGATGTATGATCAAATTGACCCCAAAAATATTATTTTACGCTATAAAAGAAATATAATTAGGGTCGCTTTCTACATCTGCCTGTAATAATTTGTGCTAATTGTCAATTGGAAACCAAATAAATTATCATAATCATATACACGCAAATGTTATAAATTAAATTATTTAGTTCACATGGGCATAAATGAGGGACCGTACGATACGTGCCCTCAGTGTTCCTTTATTTAATTAATTAATTATTATTATTCTTTTTTTTAAGACCCTGAATTTATTATTATTTAAAAGTAACACTTGACTCCAAAAAAAATGAATAAATGGTTGATGAACTGCAACGCCGGTTAGCGTTAAATCGGTCTGTAGACTTTTGTACACATGGATATACTTTTTTTCTTTTTTTTTTTATCTATATATTTTTTTGGACTCTTTAAAATATGAAAACTTTGACTACTAACCAATGCTCTATCATGAGGCAAAGTCAGTGAGCCCATTGACTCAAAAACATATCAGCATTGATCTGACAAAGTTATAAAATTCCATGGGCAAATAATAGGTTAAAATTAGTTATTAGAAGATTTTTATGATATTTTCAATAATATTTAAGTGCTTACTAAATAGCTACCTTCTTATTTACCACCAACAACAAAATTGACAGAAATTAATTCTATTTTTCCTGTCTTTTTTATGCATTCATCTTTCTTTTGTCAATTTTTTTTTACAATCATACCTATTTATGGGAATTAGTACATAAATATTATTCCATTTATTTTTCCTACCTAATTTTCTATTTTTTTATAGTTAAAAAAAACAGTCTAGTGAATGAATATATTATAATTAACCAGGTTGGCCAATGAGCCAAAATAAATGGCAAAGAATTTGGAGGGAATGAGTTCATATCACAGTAGTAATTAAACTACCCATGATTTAATTCTTTATGAATTTTCTGGACAACCAAATGTGGTATAGGTCAAGTGATTATCTAGTGAGATTAGTCGATGTATATACAAATTGGCTCGGACAATATCTACATTTTGAAAGTTTCATTTTTAACGTGATGTTTTAATTTGTTCATGGAATTTTTTTGTTAGCAATCTTTTCTAAATGCAAAATTAGTGAATTGAAGGTAAAACTGTAACTTTTTTTGTTTTAATTTTTATAATGAGTACTTTGTATAATTGATTTCATTTCAAATTGCAACCTATTTCTCTATTTCTACTTTGATTTCAATTTTTACATATAACATTTTCTTTTTTATTCCTAATATTGTTTCTTAATGTTTTACATTTATTTGAGTTTAAGTTTGATTTAGATTGTGTTATTTTTGTAAAATTTCAAAATTTATGGTGTAATTTAAATATATACACTAACTACATAACAAAATACACAAACCTAGCTTTAAAAAAGACAAAACTAAGCAAACTTTGCAGCTAAACAGGGTGATATTTTTAATGAATTATTGAATGACAGAACGAAGAGAAACTAAAGGAACAAAAGGCAATCGACGACTGGCTCCCAATCACATCCTCAAGGAACGCAAAATGGTGGTACTCCGCTTTCCACAACGTCACCGCCATGGTCGGCGCCGGCGTCCTCAGCCTCCCCTCCGCCATGGCCTCCCTCGGGTGGGGCCCTGGCATGACCGTGCTCATTATTTCATGGATCGTCACTCTCTACACTCTCTGGCAAATGGTAGAGATGCATGAAATGGTTCCTGGCAAGAGATTCGACAGGTAATGTTAATATTACATCTCTTCAAGACGGGACTTTTTAGATTATTTTTTTGGATTGAATACTCAGTTGAGTTTTTGAACTCTTATACTATACTAGTATTTATGTGTTGCATCTTAAATCTAATTGACCATGAGATCAATAACCTACTTCTATTATAAATATGTCTTTATTTTATCAATATGAAATCCTTAATAGGTACCATGAACTCGGGCAATATGCTTTTGGCGACAAGCTAGGTCTCTACATTGTCGTACCGCAGCAGCTCGTGGTCGAGGTCGGTGTCAACATTGTTTACATGGTCACCGGCGGCCAATCCCTCAAGAAATTCTACGAAACCGTGTGCCCCAGCTGCATCAAAATCAAGCAGACTTATTTCATCATGATTTTTTCCTCCGTCCACTTTGTCCTCTCCCACCTCCCCAATTTCAACTCCATCTCCGCCGTCTCCTTGGCCGCCGCCGTCATGTCCTTGAGCTACTCCACCATTGCATGGGCGGCGTCGGTGCACAAGGGGGTGCAAGAGGACGTGCAATACGGTTACAAAGCCCACTCCACCTCCGGCACCGTCTTCAACTTCTTCACGGCGTTGGGTGACGTGGCGTTCGCCTACGCCGGCCACAATGTGGTGCTGGAGATTCAGGCCACCATCCCGTCCACTCCGGACAAGCCCTCCAAAGGCCCCATGTGGCGCGGCGTCATCGTAGCCTACATTGTCGTCGCCCTCTGCTACTTCCCCGTCGCCCTCATCGGTTATTGGATGTTCGGCAACGCCGTCAAAGACAATATTCTTCTCTCCCTCGAGAAGCCCGCCTGGCTCATCGCTACCGCCAACATGTTCGTCGTAGTTCATGTCATCGGAAGTTACCAGGTTCGGTCTAACATGTTAAATCATCATGAATTATCTGAAAACTCAAATAGGAAACCTAGTTAAGTAAAGTTGATATTAAATCGAAAGAAAATGTCAAATACGGAGTCTCCTAGATATCATCTTATTAAATTACCAGTCTTATTAAATTATCAGTTAACCTAAAAGCTTTCGATATCCTCTTTTATTTCTTTCAAAACTTAATGTCGTACATTTTTTGTGCTTGCAGATTTATGCCATGCCAGTGTTTGACATGATAGAGACGATGCTAGTCAAGAGATTGCATTTCAAGCCTTCTTTCATTCTCCGTTTTGTCTCCCGCAATTTATACGTTGGTCAGTATTTTGACATAATTAAAATAACTTTTATCACAGCCAAAATCACTTTTTAAATAATGATGTTTGGTGGAGAGATAATTATTTTAAAGTAAATTTTGGAGTATTAGTTAGTTAGATCACCTCTAATTACATGAAAATAACTTCAAATAAAGCATAAACTAGCTAATGGTAATTAAATCACTTTTCAAAATCAATTCTACGATCACTCTCAAACAGATTGTAATACCGGGGATCATTCTAACCAAATTTTGCACCCTGTGTTTTTGTTGGTAGGATCTACGATGTTCATTGCCATTACCTTCCCTTTCTTCGGTGGGCTGCTAGGATTTTTTGGTGGCTTTGTTTTTGCCCCAACGACATACTTCGTAAGCTACAAAAATTTTTCCCTAACCCTTTTAAATATTTAATTTCCTTCAACCAAATTGATCATATATTGTCTCATTCTACTGTAAATTTCAGCTGCCTTGCGTCATGTGGCTCGCCATTTACAAACCAAAGAAATATAGTTTGTCTTGGTGGAGTAACTGGGTATGTTTTTACTTATCATTTGGCCATTTCTTTTAAGTTTTTAGCACGATTAAAGTTACTTTTTGTTTTTCTTTTATTTTCATTTTTCAGGTATCCATATTCCTTGGAGTGATTTTGATGATCTTAGCACCCATTGGTGGATTGAGAACAATCATATTGCAAGCCAAGGATTATAAGTTTTACAACTAGACCTATATGCCAAGGCCAAACATATAACTGTGTCTTCCTTCAGTAATACTTATATAAGCTTTACTCTCAAAACCTATATATATGCCAAAGGCCAAACTCATATATTAATTATGCATGCCTTCAATATTTAACTTTGAAATCTGTAAACTTGCTTCTTATTTAGGCATAGATCATATTGTTTTTTCAGTATAATATTTGCGATTGGAGATTGAACTCACAATCTCTTAGTTAAAGATTATGTCAATTACTACTGAACTATACTTACTTTGACTATATATCGTCTAATATTAATTTAGGGGAGGAGTGACATTTTCTCAAATGAAGAGAATTAATGCAGGTTGAGTGTGTTTATTATTTGAAATAAAAAGAAAAAAAAATATAAAGTGATGCTGTTCTTCACCAATTGGGCCCAATGACTAGAAATACTAATGAACTCCAAGTGTGCCCTACCCCCTGCATTGGATGTGACTTACAAAATAAAATTAATTAAAAAAAATTGTCCAATCAATCAACTACCCTTACCCTTATATAGCCCATGGAAAAGGTGTCAGGATTAAGGCATTTCCACTTTTTCCATTCAAGAATTAGTGATGTAAATGAAATTATATCATTGAAAAAATCAAATAATTATAAATTCCAGGTTTTGAACACCCAAGAATTTAATAGAGACAAACTTAAAAGTTGAAGAACAGAATGACAATTTATTCCTAAATAGTATTATGGTCTATGATAGTTAAAAGTTGAATTTAGGTGAACAAAAAATTAATAATATGAATATGATTAAAATAGGAACAAAAGTTTGAAAAATAATTTTGGTAAGGAATAAAGTTTGATTTGCAAGCTTTCGCTGTCATAACAATTAACATCACCAATGAGCACATGGCTGTGTGTGAAGGACCAATACCATCTCTCAATTTTCCTCCAACCTTCAACTCCTAAAATCTTTTCCTTAGATCCTCCCCCAAATTCCACCCTCCACGCGTCCTCATCTAAAATTTCACTCCCAAATCCTACTCCACGCGCGCCCCACGCCACGCTCCAATCAGCAATATCGAGTTTGCTCCACGCTCTTGTAGTCGCGTGGAGGAATGTGGTCGTTTAGAACTGAGTTTCACCCCTCTAAT